AAATACGTAAGATGAAAGTTTAATTCATCAATTTAATCTTACTTCCCGGAGGTATATGAGAAACTTGTTTCGATTTGATATTAGAACTTAACTGATAATTTCACAGCGTCTTCAAGAAAACAATTTTGAAGGCGAGAAGAAAATGTGTATGAGATTGTAAAGAGCAGATTGACGGGATAGTGTTTAAAACATATGAAATTTATTTTATTTTTTCCGCTATATACTTTTCATTTGATTATACGGATCAAATACATGATCGCAATTATGAGCTTTTATCATTTCATGCGGAACAAATGCTAATTTTCGTTATAATTATAACCCAAATAAAACGTTTGATGTATTAGTTTGAAATTTCTCCGAGATTATGTACTCATTCGTATTATAACTATAATTGGGAAAAAACTGATCTTTTTCATTCACCTATTTTGTTCCTCTTGGGGTTTCAAAAATTTTCTTTATTTTCAAAACTCGAATGAGACAGCTTATTACTCAGTTCAGAGAAGGCTCGTTTTCTTTTCGTTCGAAAGATTCTTGCCTGATATTCAAAGTCAAAGTTACGTAACTTATGTATATAAACACCTCAATATCATTTGTATTCACTTTTACACGATGACAGTTAACAGTTACTTTATTTAATTTGGCGAATAAAAGATATCCGATTCAGATGATACGTATGACTTGCATGTTATTATCACATGCGCGCCTTTTAGATGGAAACTATTGTTGATAATCCATTAAGAAATCGAATTATAATTGAATTTAGGAAATTTTCAAAGACAATATCATCAAAATAGAGAATATCAACTACGAATTAATCGTTATCGATTTCAAGTTATCAATATGAATAAGAAAAATTATAATAAAAAATGTGTATTCCTAAGTTTGTTCCTTCTTTTTTTCCTATTATGAACGTGCTAGATTTATAACAGAGCTAATGATGTCGTGCCTTTTCTTTATCCTTGTAAAAGTTTCCGTTTCTATCTTTTTTAATCATTTAATTGACGGTGCGTGAAATCGCACCTACTTTTGTTGTACTTCGTTTTATTTATTTTTTTTAATGTTTTGTAAAAAGCTTGAAGAGAAAGTAGGTCACCGATTCAAGAAAATAGTGTTGTAAATAAATAGCAGACGTTGCAACTGAAATCACAAAAATTAAGAACATAAGAATGTTTTTAAGAAAGAAAATTCTTGTGCCATCAACATATATTTTGTCTATATGAATCTTGTTAGAAAGTCAAACTTTGTTAGTTCAGGCAAGAATCTTATGCTGAAGTAAAATTTTTAAAAAACATATTGATTGATTGTCAAGAAAAACAAAAATCTGGTGTGCTCAACAACAAATTTGTCGTTTAGTATATCCGAATGACTGTATCCATTTCTCTAACTGGGCTATTAAACTCAAAGATAACTACACTACAAAGTTTATTGTGCTATATGCTCATTCACCAAACAAAAGTGCTTATTAATGTATGTCCTAAACGGTCGGTCTCCTACTAATTATTTAGTTTAAATCTGAAGGATGTAATTATTTTTCTTAACTTATCAATAATGCATCTTAGAGAAATTGTACAAACTTTACGATCTAAAATCTGATATCTCTTGAGATTATTATTAAAAAAAATCTTATTCCGCTTCTGTGAAAAATACTTCAAATAAAAATGTTTATTGTAGTCTCGGATTGAATTTTATTTGTGGAAAAACTGCCTGATAAAAATCTTTCTTTTGTGATACTTACCATTGTTATCAATACATGGTTGATTTTCGCTGCCTTCATATTTATCTCTTTTGTATTAAAATTAGAAGATCTTTTTTTGTCGAGAAAACATAGAGTGATTATATATTATAACTAAGTAATTTGACTAATTATCTGAGAATAATATATACTAATGACAAAAAATTTCATACGAAATGACGGCCAAAGTTATGCTCTTTGTAACATTTAATATCTTCTTTCTGAATATAGTTCCAATTTAAAAGCTAAAGAGCACGTTTGATGCCATCTGTGATGAACACTATCTACGATCTTCAAAAAGTAATCTTTTCAGAAAAAACACTTTTTTTTTTTAAGAATGTAGATTCAAATCAAATAACCAAGCAAAAATGTTATGATATTTCCAAAACTTATATTAAGCGTTATCGTTTTGTAGCATCTAGAAAAATCTCTTCACTCAATTGTTTGATCAAGTACTTTTTAACTGAATTTTTTAATGCATAGAAAATGAACCATGCGAACAACTGTTCTAATTTTTTTTGCAATCATTATTTGTGATTGAAAAATATTATTATATTATAGTTTCATGAGACATAAAAACAGAATCGTCCATTCTAATTCTTCAGTTGAAATGATTTTGGCATTTTAGAATAGTTTAAAATATTTGGTTTTGCATAGAAGTTCTTTCTTAACAAAAGTACATGAGAAATTTCTAGATTACTTCTAATAATGTTCTATGAGAGAAAAATATTTAATAGAAGACAAAGTCTTAATGATGATCCATAAACATAGAGTAAGCTATACATGTCAAACTTGAAATCGGAAAATCAATCATTCACTTTAAAATTGAGTTATTTATTCTATTGAAATGTTTCCGGACAAATTCAACTTTTTGATGCCTCATTCGCAGAGTACATCTTTCTAATAATGACATAGAGAAATAATTGTTGTACATTGTTGTCTTCTTTTTAAAGAAAACCTATATTATGGTACTGTTTGAAATACTACTCTTCAATGATTATAAAAATGCTATTAATTTAACATTAAGCCGTATGTGCACGTACTAATAGAGAAAAAACGCGCACTTCATAAGTTCATACTTCAAATTATTTTTGAAGTAGATGACGTGCTGTTTGTCTTCCCTGTAATTTCAGTCATTCAAAACTACATTTTGTATTTTAAACCTCTTCTCGCAATACGAGACCTCACATAATAGAAGACCCTCCTTGAAGAAACGATGCGTCGGATATAAAAAAAAGGTATCCGTTAATTAATCTATTTCTTTTAAACATGAAACGTAAATTAGTACATGTATATCAAACTATGCCGAGTTTTGAGAATCTTGAATTGAAAGTCGTTAAAAGACCAAGGTCAGCATTATTTCTGGATTTCTAAAGTCCGACAAATATCTTTACAAATTGTCAAAATCGTTTTGGTCTTCTGAAAAATCCTTTTAATTAAAAATTATAGAAATAAATGAGATACATAGGAGACTCCCATGAAAACCTAGTACATTTGAACATAATAGTAGATCCGAGATTTGTATAATTTCTTGAATCGTTTATAGATACCGATGTAAAAAAAATTAAACGAAAAATCAGATTAAAATCGATTAGAGTTTGTTTAAAATGTGATTAAAATCATCTATATGAGAAAAATGAGTATCCATCTTGCGAATTAATCAAACTACTAAATAACAAGAAAAGGTATGCAATAATAATAATAACATCATTTTTTATGCTTTTATTTTAAATATGACAGTGAAAATATTCGGTCTTAAACGACCATTTCCAACCTAAAAAAAAAGGAATTCACAGCATATGGCAATAAAAATGAACAATAATATAAAAATAATCAGAGATGGGTTAGTCAGAGGTTTTTCAATCACAAATCAAATGAAGTCATAATTTACTAAAAAAAATATTCAAGTCAACAACTGACTTGACTTATCCATCTTTGAAAATAATCATAATAACGTATATTGTATAGATATTGAATGAAACTTAGAAATTCTGAACTATACAACATAACCGTACATTAATATCATCATGTAACGTGATGATATAAATACATGCTTATATTTTTTTATTAATACTACGTTCCTTTGTTTGTTTTTATTTCATAGTTTGGTTAGTTCTCAAGATATATAATCATTTACACATAAAGTGGAACATAAAATGTCTTAATTAAAATAAAAATTTAATAAATTTCTGGTGTTATCAATTATTTATTATATTACATACTGATATTAATGCATAGTTATGTTTCAGTTCATGTTGTATAATTCAGAATTTCTTGTTTTCATTCAATATCTATAGAATATATATTATTATGATTATTATTATATTATTATTTATATTCAATTACTCATATGTTGTTAGTCATTTTAAGACCGAAAATGGTCATTTAATACTGAAAACTTCCAACGTTATATTTAAAATAAGAACAAAGCATGATGTTAATTACAAAGAGGAAAAAGCAAAAATCCCATATTTCATAGTACTTTAAAGGTATACTAAAGTTATCCTTTAGAAATTTTCAGCTATTTTAAGATTTATTATCAACATATGTGATGAGGATATTACGTAGTTTCAACTCATTTTATATAAATTTGTCAGATGATAAAATTCCAAATTCTTCATCGTACTTCCTTCCAGATTTGAGTACCTGTGAAGTGCATTGAAGCATAAAATTTTCGCCATTTCTCCCTCGTGTTATTAGAACTAAATGCATTTTCTTGTTATTTAATAAAATCACCTATCTTTAAATGAACTACAAATCGGTTAGGAACTGATCGAAATCAAAAACTACAAAATTTCATCGATTATTTTGTTTAGTTTCAATTGTAATTGATTAAAACATTGTGCAAGAAAAAAATTGCTTTTAATTGATTTTGCTTGACGATAAATGGTAGGGTCTTTAACTAATATCCTCTTTGATTTGCATAAATTACAATAGATTTTTGGAATTATTTTCATTTATAATCGATTAAAAGCGTCTGATTTTAATTGACTTTTAATCTGAGTTACAACGTATCTTGATATCTTTTTACGTTTGCCGGGTTATTTCAAGAGTTTCTTTATTAATAAATTATGCAACATTACTTAGATGAATCTATTTATGACTAGTTTTATTAATTAGAATTTAAAATAAACGACATCAAAGTGGTACAAAAATAGGTCTTTGTTATGCGTTTGAATAAATTTATCATTAACCAGCATGCCATTAAATTAAAGTCATGTGGTTTTTAATATATTTTTCCTAATTGAAAGTTTCGAAATATTGATTTTTAAAATGTTATTCTTTGATTAAATATTCGTATAAAGTCCATAAATGCTTTTCGAAAAATAGTTCCACCAGTTAATGTATAAATATAGAATGGCACAACATTTTGTATAAAAGCTAAAAGTAGTACGATATTATAAAGAAAAGTTTTTATAACATCTTCTAATTCGGATCTCGAACTGAAAGGATGAAATGTAATATAAAGTTTTTCAATAGCTTGTGGAATACAACATAATATTAAAATAAGAACTTCCACTAAAAGCATACGAAGTAAACGACGATCGATTCTTCTTGATTTTAGTTGTTTATGACCAGGATGATTACGTTTATTAAAAAGTTGTATCATATGTGGTGCATGGACATGAGCACGATATACGTTCGAAACAGACATTAGACCGAAAATAATCATTAAAATCAATGGAATAGTAATGCTTATAAAAATATAAATTAAATCAGTGGCCAAACGACATTTAATTGTTTTTGCATAACATGGCAATGGTCCATCAAGGGGATTAGTTCCATAACAATAAAGCATGTGAATGTAAGAAACAATCGATAGAAAAAAACAAACAATCATGCCTTGTTTGACATTTTTCAATGTACTCATTCGTCGATAATGAATATTGATCGATGATATTAACCATCGATCAATGGTAGCTAATGTAATCAACCATATGGACATTGTTCTTGTACTAAATACAATAAAAGCACGAAATTTACAAATCCAATCGATTGTAGCAGTTGGATCAAGGTGCCAACCGGCCAAAATTCGAGTAGGTAGACCAATTAGAATAGAAATAAGACCAAAAAAAGATGAAAGAAGAAAAAGTACTACACATGGATTTGAACGAAGTGTTCTTTGATATAAAACAAGGCAATTAAGAATATTTCCTACTGTACCAAAAATAAAAATCGTAGATGATAAATATCGATTGAGTTGTTCTGAAATATAAGTTAACGATTCGATAAGATTAGTATCCGTTGTAGATGATGCCATCGTTGAACAAAGTTCTTGTCGATCCTATACACTGCTTATAAGCTTATAAAATATAATTATGAGCTCTGTAATTTATATCAAATCGACATTTATTTTTCTCCATTAATTAAAGCTTACATATTTTAGAAATTTCAAGGTCCGCATATGTTTGAGATTAATGATCGGAACAAAAAGTATTAGGAAATAAAATTATCAAAAGTAGAAAAAATAATGTATTGCATATTCTATTATAATCAATTATTTACTTTCTGGCAAATATTTCCTTTTTTATATTGACTGGAAAAAGAAATATAAATATCGTTTAAATTATCATTTTCCATAATCAACTATGTACGGATGAAATTCAAATGGTTCTATTGAAATAATTTCAATAGAAATATATATTTTAGGAGAACAAATTCAAAGAAACGTTATTCTTCATCAAATTTGTTCTCCTTAATCACAAACTTTCATAAAAGGCCACTTAGTACGCATAATTATGCAACATTCAAGACGTGTTACACTTTATTACTAATTATAGAAGATAGTTACAAAGCAGATTCTATTAATGAAGTTATTTTTTGATCAGCGGATTGTTTCTTTGACTGTTGTACAGCGTTTATTCAGGAAGACTATATGAAATAAAATAAAATTTTGTATACTTCGACATATACTTTTTTAAATAACAAATACAATTTAAAAAAAGTTTATAGTAGCAAAACGATAGATAAATCTGAACCTGCGTACTTTCAAAGTTTAATTCTTTACCTATAAAAAAAAAGAACTTAGAGATAGATAATGATTTTTTGACTTCTGACGAAAGCTTCTCATAGTTTGAGCATATTTATTTTATTGAAGAAAATAATGTCTTTTTTTTGTGCAACATTAAATTCCAACAATAAAACAAACATTGATGATAAAATCTTTTACTTTGTCATATTTATTTTCATTACCGTAAGATAATCGTCATAAAGTATCATTCATACTTTGTTTTCCCAATTATTACAATCCCATTAATGATATGTGATCGAAAAGAAACGATTCAAATACGACGTGAAAGAATCTTTTGAGTTAGTGCCTAAGTATTTTGACAATATTCTCATATGATACTGAGAGTTGACAAAACAAATTTGATTCCGTAACTATTCATATTTTTTAACTAGAAGCAGTTATTCATATAATGTATCATATGAAAAATGTGCAAACAATAGAAAAAAACCTATTTTCCGAAAGTTATGATTTAGGGCTCTTTGCTGAGAATATGAAGCACGAAATTATCTTTTCTGGTTCTAGAATTGACTCATACGATTGTATTTTAGGAAAGCTCACACAACCGTACTTTGTTTCTCAACAAAACGTACTGCATGAACATTGTTGAATCCTAACATACTTCAATTCTATAATCATGTGTACTTTTAAAATGATGAATGAGTGATGTATCAAAGAAAAGCGTAGCTTTCATTATACTGATGTATAACATCAAAGTGTTGTTATTTTCATTTTAAATATCTTCTGCTTAAAGAAAAAATCCTGCACTTTGTTGCTTCACAGTTCATCAACTAAACGAATGAAAAAAGTTTCATTTAAATGATTATTCTCAGAATTTTCATCAAAAAAATGTCATGAATTCGATTATTCTAAAAAAATCAAAATCACTACATTAATTTCATTACTTTGACCTCTTTTCATTGTATGACTTTCATTGAACTCTTTTTATTTGAATAAGGAAAATTTTACAAGGCTTCACATGAGTGAATTACCTACTCTTTCTTGAATGAAAATCAGTTTCAATCGATGACTTTTATGTGAAATACATAATGGAAAATGATTAATTGAAAGTTTGTTTGTACATTTGTTCTTACATGTACTGTTTTTACAAAAAAAAAACAGACGATGAGAAGACACTAAATGAATTGATTATGATCGCAAAAATTTAGTCAGCTATTAGAAGTTAAACTGTGTCTGAATACAGGTTTTTCATCTCGAAATTTCGATCTCATTTTTCTCGACTGTGATGAAATCTCATTGGAAAATAGTTTTCATTACAAAAAAATCTGTCAAGATTCCGTTCTACTGTGAAAGTTATACTAACTGCTAGCCTCACGCAGCAAAGAAAATATCTAGGTATTAAGAAATCTAGAAATATGAAGTCTAGTAAAGAAATTGATTTTGTAGCTCATTTTGTCTTTCTGTCAACAGTAGTAGCCTCATACGAATTATGATACACTTTGGTTATGATAAATAATGATTTCAAATAAGAAAACATCAAACTTATCAATTCTTGTAAAGAAACAGTATTTTTACTTAAGAAAGCCAAGCAAAAGTTTTGAAAAAATTCTTCCTCTCTTCTTAATATTAACCTACGTACATAGAACGCGCATCAGGGTTATGTAGGATCTGTTACTACTAGAAACTTCAAAAGTTATATAAGTATCACATTGTATGCCTGCCTTTGGTGAGCTGTAATAATAAAATTTTTCTCTACAGTACTAGTGGTTAGTTAATATGCTAAATGAACTATTTTTCACAGGTTGAATTATGTAACTGAAGTGATTGGTCCTGTTCCATTGAAAAATATTCTACTGGTTCCAAGTTTGGACTCTCCAGCACACTCTCAGAATGAAACCTTAGACAAGGTTTTTCATAAAATCAAAACAGAATTCAACCGAAAACTTTGGCAAATAAAATTTATTCAGACGATCTGGAAAAAGAGAGTTCACTAATATATTGGTTTCATAATATTAGCTTTTTTCCCAAAAAAATTTGACGTGTTCTTTTCATTGCAAACAAGCAAATACGTATCATTAAATCATATTTATTTTATTGATGAATGTCGAAGATAATAATAATGAAGATAAAATAAATATTCTAAAAAAGGAAAAATAACTTGAAAATTTATTTATGAATTTGATAGAAATGCCAATGATCATACACACAGGGACAAGACAATCATAAACTTTGGTCAGTTATTACAATTATCATCACTAACATCTTTATATTTCGTTCATAGACTTCATTGTCGTAGGTATAATCCTACTTTCCTTCAGGGCCTCTTCACGCTCATGATTAATAGCTAATTGTTGTTGTTTATACATTCGGATCACGCTAGTGATGATTGTCAATAGTATACACACAACGTAATATGCGATCAAGACACCCACGTCAACACTGATTCTAGTATGCGAGCCAAAAAGCAGATGGCGACCTCCACTCAAGCAATGAAAGAGAGGTAAGCCATAACCAATATGATAGAATCTATGTTGAAGTTCAATTGCCAAACTCGATCCTGCTGTTGAGAAGTTGAGGATAAGAAAGAGTATAAGTACAACATGAGCCATTACTCCCAAATTGAGAGTGAAAAGAGCTATTATAGACACGAAGGTAATGGCAACAAGCCAATTGAAAAGCCAAAATTTAATAAACAGCGCAGCGGTGGTGAAGTCACCGAACCACAGAACACATAAACTGTAAATAAGTGAAACTATGAGACTATTAAAAGCACTGTTTATAATGTGTATTATTGCTATATCGATGATTTTGACTTTTTCAACGAATGGTGTCGTGATGCGTATGGTTACTGTAACAAGAGCGCTCATGATAAGCCAGAGAAAAATATAACCGAGACTAGTAGCAAGCAATCTAGCATAGGGAAAGGCAGGATGAAGATTCACATTGGTGAAGCTGATAGGCGACCATATAATATGAGACATTGATATAGCCGTTATGATACTGTTCAATGTAGCATTTGAGTATGAGTCGATACGAGATTGTATGTAGACAGCATAGCTAGCACTAGCAGCAGCAATAGCTGTTCGAATGGGAGGTAAAACGAACTCATTGACGCTGTTTGTATTACGACCTTCATCATAAACAATGCTTACTGCTGATGAAGGAATGTAAGAGATTGAGTCAGTTGTAAACCCATACAAAATCGATTCGATGATCTGATTCACACGGCCAGTAATACCCGGATTCATATAAACAACAGCCCAAGCTTTTCCGTTCTCAATTTTGTCGACATAGTCTGACGAAGAGTCGAAGGGTTGTTTGAAAATCCAGTTAAGTGTTAAGTTACCAGGTGGCGTTTGATGAAAGGCAGTGAGAAAGTAGCTACCTGCAGTGTCATTATCCAAATCGATTACGTACACATCGAGTGAACCCGTGTATTTATAAGGATTCTGCATTCAAAATGGAAACAAACAACAATAAAAGGAACGAAATGAAAAGAAAAAGATTTCATATACAACCATTCATCTTTTTTTTCGACTAAAACTGTTTGTTTAGAATGTCATAACTGCTGTTCAGTGGTGTAATCTAAGATCATCTGTTTTGTATGAAAACATTGTCTTCATCTTAATCTATCATCAGATTTTTTTTTATTACGCAAAAATATTCGAATAATAAGACTCATATTTTTCTAATAAAAAATGAGATAAGATGTGATAATCATGTCCGATAGCTATAACTCAATGGAATTCACTATTTAGTAAAATATTGGAAAAAAATTTATCCGTAAAGACGTTTTTATCTCTTCAAAAAAAGTTTTGCATTCATCAGTTATCTATTTCATAGTAAAGACAACAAAAATTTAGCATATTTAATGTGTGAAATGTAAAATTTAAATAAAATGAACAAACTGTTATCTAAATGAGACTATCTGAGATAAATAAAATACATAAATGAAACAGGTAAACGTACTGCACCACTGCCGAGATAAATTAGTGCAATGAGAAAGATAACAATCCAGACAATGATAGAGACACGAATTATATGAATAAAAAGTTTCAGACGTATCTTGGCCATGTCGGCATTCTTGGACCATAGATGTGGCAGCGATGATCGAGTTTCAGTAGAAGAGAGCATTGCGGACACTTTTTGTATGGAAAATGATAATCATAAATGAAAATGAATATATAGTCATTACCGTCAATAATTGCGCTCAAATTTATGATTTTTTTTTGTATTGACGTGTGATGCGAGTGCACTGAAGTGTGACGCATTGTGTTGTGCTTTATCAATGTATATTTTTATATGCATAAATCTCATTCTTATTTTTTTTATATTCATGCTAAAACATCAACAATCGACTCGTAATAGTGCTCACACTTTGGCGTTAGATTCAACAGGGACTCGCGACTTTGATCATGTATGGTCATCACGAAAAGAAATTGCTACCCTGCGTAGTGTGTTTGGATATCAATGGATTATCGGACATGCTCCACTATGGATATTCATCTTTGTAGTGTGCGCGTTCTATCTCGGTGCTGGACATAATCCGAACCAATACACAGGCAATATAGACGTTGCTGTAGTCGATTTCGATGGCGAACAAGCAGGTGGCTTCTTTCTCGATGCATTTCGAGCTACACCACCTGGAAACCTGACTCTTCGCTGGCGATACAAGTATCCGAATGACTATGGCAACAGTGTGAATGAGATTCAACAAGCTGTCGATGATGGACAAGTGTGGGCTATCGTAGTGCTTCGCCCAAACACCACGTCGACTATTAATAAGTCTTTACTCGCTCTGATCAATTCTACAACATTGGTGACCTACCCATTTGTTAACACACCTCCTGTGCTTGTTATCTATGATGAAGGGCGAAACGCATTTACTCAAAACATTTTTGTATTACCACCTATTCGTGCAGCCATTGCGACAGCCAATAATCAGTATGGTCAAACACTTCGTACAACGATCATTTCCAATTTATCCTTCACATCTCGTTCAAGTACTAATCGAACATTGCAACTACAGAATACGCTACGTCTTCAACATCTCCTTGCCAATCCATTTGTTGCAGAATATAATAATCTTCACCGTGCTCTTCCTTACGTAGGTCTGTTTGAATCTAATATTATTTAAAATAAAAGAAATCGTGAAATTGCTTTCAAAATTCTAAACTTGTTCTATAAATACAAATGCTAGTACATGTTTTGACCAGTGTCTTGATAACAATTCATTAAGATATCTTACAATCTGAACTGCTAATGAAAAAAAAAGACTAGTGTTGTTTTACACATATCTAATATGATTTGTTTTGCTTGATTTAGGTCAATTTGCTACAACAATTGGTTACATTTATTTATTTTTAGTGACGACTATTATGGTTGGTTCAATTATTGGTACCCTAATTCCTTTCAGTAAGATTAATCTTTTTTCCTTGTGTACTAGGAGTTCTTTCATCTGAAAACTGACACATAACTTTGAGAAAATCAATTCTAGCATTTTGAATAGTTGATAAAAAAAACTGATAAAATATCGTACATAGGACGATAATCTTGACTTTGATAGATATTTTCAAGTTGTCTTTTAATAAATGACTATTGTGCTTTTGAAAATTGGCTGCTCTGATCTGTTAATAAATAGCATTCACAGATAAAGAGTGAGAAAAAAAGAATTTAAACCTTCTCTGTGAATTGATCTAAATATACAAATTTCTTAGAGAAAAAGCAACGCTATCATATGAACTAAAACTCATCTAAATTCATGAAAGTTGTACACATTGTTGCAGTTATTTCACTAATCTTCAGTAAACATTTTCATCATATATTTTGGAAAAACATTATTTTTTTCGTCAAAGCTGCATACTTGTGTTTATATTGCGTTTCAGTATTTATCATTTTAGCCGAATGATATTAGTCATATTTTCTAATTATTGTTATTGTGATTTTATAAAGCCGTTCACATTGTCAAAGTCTTACATGCTGACTTTTTTAGGGTAATTGTTTGGAATTTGCATTGCAATATGTCAGCAGCTTTTTCAATTTATTCTTTCGATAACTTTCACACTTATTGGAACATACCAGAATTTCTTTCAAAGTCAAATAAGCAATGTTCGATGCGAAAGTGATGAGAATGAAAGCAAGAATGACAGTTAATTGTTCTAGATTATGCCATTGTTCCGATTTACTCTGATTGTATTTATACAGGTAATAAAACAAAACACAACATGAAGGGCTTTGACAATCTGTTTGGTTTTTATAAGATCGCAATAACAATCAACAAAGATGATTAATACCATTTAGCTAAAATGATAGATACTAAATGATGATGTCAACAAAAGCATGTAGTTCTAACGAAAAAAGTAATGTTTTTAAGAAATATATGACGAAAATGTTTACTGCAGGTTAGTAAAACCACTGCAGCATTATACAAATTATATAGATTTCGATAAGATTTTGTTCACATGATAGCGTTGATTCGAAATTTTTAAATAACAAATTATGGCGTACTTTTTTCATTGACAATAATTTCATATGACATTTGTCGACGACGATGTCGTTATGTTGAAAATTGTGAAATATACATCTGATGTCTTTCTCTATTAACTTTCCAAAAAGAACAACTGTAACATGTCATCATTTTGTTTTACTAGTTGGCAAAATTCATTATATCGATCTGATCTTGTATCACATCTTGTTTGATGTATTTCAATCGTTGATGATTTCTTTAATCTATTCTCTTATCGTTCTTTGGTTATTTCACATAACATCGGCTCGCCAGTTTATGCGGTATTGGATGTTCAATTGGTTGAGTACCATGCTATTGAGTGTCATGGTATCTTTTTTTCTAACCAACTTTGGTGTATTTGCCAATATTCTTCTTGTCGTTTTCGTGGTTATTATGGTTTCCGGTGCTACCATCCAGATATCGCTTGAGCTTTCATCACGGTTCTTTCGTTATGGCTACGGAACACCTTTGTATCATGCAATTAATGGCGGCCGACATCTTCTGTTTGGTTCATATTCACGTTTTGACATTGATGTTGGGGTGTTAGTTATCTATCTTGTTGTGATAATCATATTTACCGTATTAACTATAATCTTCTGGACCAAAAAGCGTCAACAAGATATTCGAAAGCAAAACGAAAAGACAAACAATGAAACGAACATAAGCAATACTATGCATTAAAAATGATCAATCTATTCGCATATAGATGCTAGACTGTTTGACTATGATTAACTGTTTGTTTTATTCTCAGTATATTCTTTTATGTTGATTTGAATTTTGATCTAAACTCGCTATAGAAAGTCAGACTAAGGAGATTTTATCAATTCGACTCTTCCATAGAATGGAAAATGTGAAAGTCTTGATTTTGATATTATTTTGTGGTGATTTTTTTCCACAAAGATACTGTGTACAACAATCAACTCACGCAGAAATATTTTCAATCATTTACTCTTTTAGAAAATATAATTTGTTTAGTTGAGTGACATCCTTTGACACTAAAAAAAATCCTAAGAGAATAAATGCATACTTTTAGTCTTGTCTTTTCTACTCAGGCACACCCATGTCACACGTTTGTTCGCACTACCGCCAGTATATCGCAGTACTCATGGAGATCGGCAGCAGCGATTAAGATATTCAGTTTCAACAGTAAACAATGTCAGAGAGTGTTTTCGATTCAAATTCGAATTACTTATTAGAAAGAATTCAAATTAATCGCAAAAAAAACAGTTTCAGAATGTATTTTATTAATCGATATACCACGATGCAACATTTTTAGTAAAAAAAAAAAAAGCTGGTATACCGACGGTAGTGTCTCGATAGTTATTACTTGGGCAGCTTAAGTAAGTTTCAATTATCAAGATCAATTCCAAAAATTCTTGAACTTCTATTCATTTCAAAATGAAGCAAAGCAGCTGATTTCTTGCAAATGATTTTTCATCAATAGTTGATGAAGACCTGTGATTGTCATTATTTTACATGTAACTTCCAAATGTAGATAAAAAACACTTTTGGACGCACTACGATATAGTGCTGACCAAAATAATAGAGCAACGTGTATACATGATTTTCTAGATTTAGCGGACCAATAGTTTTCAAGCTGAATAATTTAGAAAACTATTGGAATAGTAATAGTTTTTGTTCTTTTTCTACCCAATATCGAGCATTATCTCCCATAGGTTGCTTTTACTGTTCAAATAACTTGACCACAAAACTTGCCTACGGATTATCAAAATCAACATTTTACAAGGATCTTTGTAGATATTCATTGATCGATCAGTTTTGTTGTGGTTGAAATATCGTTTCAGATATAATGATGTAAAAATGATTTTTATGCTGGTTAAAGAACCATAAGTTTTTTTTTCTTCCTTAATCTCACATTTTATCAATATTGTCTCAATCGAAATAAATTACAGTATTACGGTTAGAAGTGCCTAGTAACTATCATCAGTTATAAAAGTAATGCATCAAGTACACTTTATACCACGTTGATGTGTTTTAAAAATTTTGTTTCATATCTCATTCTTAATCTTCGTCTTTTGTATTTTAATTCTTCTTCTAGACACGCAAATTTAAAAGATTTAACATCATTTTCATTGAGAAATAAGTATTGCAGTACGATCTTAAAGTCAAAATTGACACGTAATTAGCTCATTTGTCAATATGACAGTATCATGCTACATTCATGCAAGAATTCAACAGTATAGCATAAAGAGAATTTGTTGTATTGTTCTAATAACTTATGATGGTCGTGTAAATACTGATAAACCTAAAATTCGAAGTAATTATAGAAGATTGACAAAAATATGAACTTAAAGAAGTTTAAAATCTATGGTGCTTCACCTCACAAAGTAAGAATAGCATCATTTGTACACTAAAAACTGATCTTTTTCGCAAGATCGAAAGTTGTTTTAACTAAGTTTTATTTACTCACAACACAAAGACATACCTATGAAATAACTTTTAATGTCAAAACGTACAGTTTGCTGTGGTTTTTTCTTTGATGTATTAGATTTTCAAGTAAAGTCTTCCAGAAAGTCGAAGACAACAAATGTAAAAACAATGATCATTCACCATACATCATTCATTAGTTTAATTTTAATTGAATACTTTCAACTTAGGCCAATCAACCGTATTCTAGGAACAAACCATTTGTAATCAATAATAAAAGTCTATAATCAAAGCTAACAGTTATTTTCAAATAATAAAACTCTATTTGAAAATTCTATTTGTTCTGACAAACATATGCGTACTAGACGGACGATAAAGAAGTTAAGTGTAAGTTTTTAATTTTTTTCATAAGAACAGCCAATGCTAATATTTGAAGAAAAAAAAAACAATACTCACTTTTTTTTGTTGCACGATGACGTCATAAATATGACAGTTTTACTTGAGTTTATTACAAAGAAACATAACAAATAGAAAAACAATTATTGTGTCAAAATATACTTCTAATATCCTTGACTCAATCAGTCTTATTCAACTTTGCATATATCAGATTGTTTCGATGTGTGTATCAGGTTAAATAACCGTTGAAATAGAGAAATTTTCTTTCTGTACCACCGATATCTTTGTTACTAGTTACCAACTACAATTTGAAACGTTTATTACTAGAACAAAATAGGTTTTCATATGCTTTAGACTGTGCTCTACAATATAGCAACAATATGGTTTTTAAAAAGATCACGCCAAACTTTTGAACTATGAATTTACGCTTTGCTCGCTTAAGCCATGCTCAACTATCAATTGGTAGATGACGTTCAATTTTTTCTTTTTCTTTTCTTTACAAAATAGAAAAAAATTGGTGAAACAAGCACTCTACCATTTTAATTCTTCTCTCTTCGTCTTTTTGTTGTTATTAGAGAACGTCGTTTTTTTCTTTTCTCAACATGTTTCTTCTACTGCTTTTTTTCACTGCTAGTAGATAAGGTTTGTTATTCTCTTCTCAACAAGATTTTTTTTTCTTTGCTATTTGCTCATTCTCATCGATAACGAAAACTATTTAGTCGTTGTTCACATAAGTATATACGTGAAAGTATATGAAATGGACGAGTTTATTCGACAAGTGACTCATGATAATGAACTATTCGAAAAACAATGGCCTAACATATATGATCGATTACGAAAAATGTTCAATGAATATGAAGAGAAACATACTGATATTTCAAATTTCAAGATTAAAGTTTTAGATGCTCTCGTCGATTATGCACTTGCAGAATCGACCAATGATAGCGAACCGCTCTATGTTAAAGTTGTGTTTATTGAGCATACTGTAAAACTATTAGTCAATGATCCATTACCATCATTGACTGATCTTGTACGTATCTTGCGACGTATTCTCGATGCAAACAATATATTTCATAAGTGGCATCTAGCCTGCATTAAAACGTTCTATTATGAATTTCAATTTGGTAAACGTTTATCATCGACAAAATCAATTGATTTGATCGAATTAATTTTTCAAAGTTTTCAAAAGCATTCATTTTTAAATGAACAAGTAGATAAACAGACACAAGAGCAATGGCAAAATTTTTTATCTAGGCAAATGTTCTCTTCATTGTCAATGGATAATAATGTATTAAATCGAGAAGAAACAATGTTGGCCATGAGATCTGCCTATCAACAATTGTTCAGGTAACGATAAAAAAAAAATAACAATGTAGGTTTTTCTTTTGAAAATCTAATTATGATATTAACTTTTCTTATTCAAGAACATAGAAACTTTTTTATCAATTATGGAACGTCATATTAATTTTAATGCATTTAAACAAGCAAAATAAGAAAAAAACAAAAGATAGTGCTACACTAGGAACATAAAACTTAAAAGGTGTAAGATACATAAATAGATAGAGCTCGTCGATATTAGTAGAAAAAAAATATGATCTAGAGTATATGGAGAATCCATGTAAAATGATTGACATTCAATATTTACTTTGTGTACGTGATAGTGTATAAGAAAAGTGTTTTTTGACCAAAATTTTAGATTTGATAAATAGCTTTCACATAAAAACGTGACTATTATCATTTTTTTCTTCAAAGTTAAACACATTCTTTTTCTTTTTCTATCTTTAAAGTGATAAATTGAGACATAAAGTTCTCTTCAAGTATTTTACTGTCTTCTTTTTCGAAAAAGTTTTATAGTAACTTATGCGAAGTAGAAAGTTAGATTTTTTTCAACAAAATCAATGTCTGATGTTCTTTTCGAGCTCAACCTAAAAACTAGATGCGTACAGATTTTCTTGAGATCTTAAATATTTATTTTAGAAGTTTTGTTTTTATTTACATATGTAACATAATGACAATGCCTGTTTTTAACAAAACTTCCAACACTGATATTAAGGGTCTCTACAACAACCGTTGTGCACAAATTTCGAACGATTCATGACACATAGACCATCGAAAATGAGTGTTTCCGAACAAAATTTTGTTGACTAGTTTATTCGATTGGCGTCATTTAGTCAGATGCTACTTTCTATGTTCGAAAAATTGATTTTGATTTATTATTGGTGATTAAATAGGCGCTGTACAAGAATCACTTTGTTGTGTATTAATAAAATATTTTCTTTCAACTGCTAAAGGTATTCAAGCCTGATAAGAGCAACATACATAATATGTTGTAATCGAATTGAAGAGAACAGACACGAGCAGGGTGTAGATGTAGGCGAACAGAATATCTTATCTACATCCACTCTTCATATTGACCAAAATTTCTATTCTTTGCAAAAGCTTGAAAAATATTGGGGCATTCTACGTAACATGTTAACATAAATTTAATTTTTCTTTCTAAAGGTATGCTGCTCGTATGTCTGGTCAATCAAAGGTCTGGTCAGGTGTTGTATCAACACTGACGCGAACATTACCAACATTATTCGATGAGTATTCAAATCCAAGTGATGCTAAAGCCGATCTAGTAGAATGTGTTAAACAACCAATTTCAACTGACTTTATCGATTTACTTGTTAAATCTTATAAAAAAAGTGTTCATCTATTCAAAATGAATTCATCGGAAATGCCAACTGTGATTGAAAAGCTTCTATTAATGGATCAGATGAGAAAAGCTCGTGATTTTATCGAAGACATAATTGTTGCCCATTTTGATTCGGCAATCGATATTATAGATCCTTTAATTCATATGTTTATACGTACATGTCCAATGGTAAATATCAATAGTCGAAATGAATTATGTAAACAAGTTATATCACATCTAGTACATAAATTGGGCAAAGTTAAATGTAACAAAAAATTTGCACCACTCTTTTTTGATTTTGTTCTTGTCATACTCGATTTACATGTACTGGAAGCACCTAAATGTGCTTACGATTTACTTGAGAAAGCTGACTTCTATCCATGGAAAGAATTAGCACCGAAATTCAAAGATCTTGTTCGATTATGTGCTGCCTACGATACAGTAAATGTAACAAGTTATTTTAGTGATCTTGATAAACTCGAAGATATTCTTAAAATAGTCGTCGACAGAGCTAAAGTTAATACCATCATTTTTCGATCAACACATGATGAAGCTCTACAAGCTATACTTCGTTGGTCAGCGACACCGGTCGAGAATGGTAACAAAAAACCATGGCTTACACATGTTTACAGAATGGGACAACCGATGATAGGACTCATCGATCAAAAACAAGTTACTGCCGAAATTTGTTCTCAATTCATTAAAGCACTCGAACAGAGAATTATTGATAATGAGGATGATGATGATAATCAAGAAACAACAAGTCCAATGATGACATCATTTTTCATTGTAAGAAAGATTCTATAAAACATTGTTTCAATGAACATTATTTTTATTTAGAGCTTAGCAACACAGTTAGGAAAGTATATTGAAGTTCTTAAAAATTTTCCACACGAAGCTCATCGTCAATTGGCTTCATTTATTCTAATTGCACTCCAACGTCCATATCAAAAAGAAAATGGACAAATGTCATTCGAACATATTATAACAATGATTATTTGGTTTAAACTTGCACAATGTCTCACGAATGAGGCTGATTTTCGTCTTTATGAATCATGCATTAAAAAAATACATTCGTTGGCATGTGATAACGATGAGAAAACATTTTTTGATTGGTGGAATACATTTTGGAGTATTGTCGGTATGAAACTACCTGATGTGGCTGCCGATTATGTTGAAGATTTTCTAAACGATTTGCTTGATCGAAAACAAGTCAATATGATTGGTCTACTGCCAGTAAGTAGATATAAAATTGAAAAAAAAATACATGTGAACAGAAACATCGATCCATATATAAGGTCGATAAAGCAGCGAATCTATTGAATGATCTGTCATGTTCCATTTTTTGTCTTCAATTGATTATTTTCTTCTGTTATAAGCAGAATGTGATCATGTATTCAAAAGTCGTATGTCTTTGTACAATGTTATTCCTTCGGGATGAATACTTTTCCAATCCGGCTGTGTGCTTTAAAATCTACATGTCAGAAGTTTTGGTACAGTTTTAATTAAAAAAAAGCTGCAGAGATTTCTTTTTCAGATGGTCGAAAATAAAGATTCACTTTTTTTAGAAAGTGTAACGTACTCAAAATAACTATGAATGAATTTTCATAATCATGAACGATGTTCATAGACTGTTCAATAAAAAACAAATAAATTGCAGGAAATTTTTCAACAACACATAATTTTGTAGATAGATATGTTTAGTTCAATGAAGAAACGTTCTTTTTTTCTGCTTAATTTAATCTAAATACAGGCTACTTTTTAAAAATTGACTCGTATTCATTTTTATACACAATCATTTCTCATATCTTAGAAGCACCTATAGATATTAATCTTGTGCAAAGACATAATTACACAGACGTATTATGTATGTGTGTAACAACCTAACAGCTTATTTCAATAGGCAATTATTTAGAGATATTGAGGAATATTGTTAAAAAATCATGGAATGGTTACATACGTTGGAATATTGAGTTGTTTCTTCCGAGAGTTACCCTCAAAGTTCAATTTCAAACTTTTCAAAAACAAAGCTTTTAATGAAACAAATTGATTTCTTGTGAAAACATTTGACTGTTTTGTACCTTCTAAAATCAAATATAAATAATAATAATAATAATACTATAGGGTTTTCATCGTGGAGTTAATACTTATAAACTTGTTGGTTGAACTTCTAATTTAAACACAGATATCACTGTTAGAAAAAAATTTTTATAGCATTACATTTTTTCTGTTGTTCATTAGTATTCAACGAGTGAAACTATTTTGAATATTCTTCATATGCAAACATTGCTTTTTAATTTTGTCTTTTAGACACTTTATCCTAAACGTCCTGAACCATATCATGCTCGACTAGATGAATTAATCAATAGTATGTTTTCTGGCGATATATCATACGTATCATCACTAGGAAATATCTTTTACATCATTGCCAAAGAACATCCTGAATTAGTTACAGAAGATCAAGTCAATAATATATTCGTTTCACTCAACGATCATAGCGGTACTTCACTAGGACTTCATCAAGTTTTTCAAGGACTGGGCTTTGTGGCAAATGCACAACCTCACCTATTTCACAAACATCATACTGCACTCTTGCGTTTCATTGTTGAACTACAGAATATATCAGCTTTTATTTGTCTTCAACAATATTTTGTTGCATCGACTATTGTTGATGGTGAACAACAAGCCAATGAGTCTCTTACATTTCTCATTGATCTTCTAAAACGTGGTTCTGCAATTACAAATGATATTCGAAAACTAATCTTTCACACATGTCAATTAGTCGGTGTAATAAATAAGCAAGCACTCGAAAGTAAAAGAACAGATTTAGAAGCATTCAATTCGTTTCCAGAATGCCGTACATTGATTGATTTTATTGATGGAAAAAAAATGAGTGAAGAAAATCAAGCTGCAATAAATCAAACACGTGAAGAAATCGTACAAATGGAAAAACGTGTCGTCAAAACTGAGAAAGACGTGCATAATATAACAAATGTTGTAAAACGACAAGAACTGAATGTAAGTTTTCTCTGTATCTTAGAATATACAAAAAGAAAAAGATGAAGTCCGAATATTCTTGAGTGTATAGGATCGATTCGATAAATATTTTCCATTCTTATAGATGCTGCAGTATCAACATGAGCAACAACAAACCTCTTCAGCATTAACGGATCTAACAACGAGCAGTCAAAATAATTTTAGCACTAATGATGCTGCTATTGCATGGATTGATCGCATTGAATTGTCCCTTGACAGCATATTTCTTGAATTGCAAAGAGTTCGAGAGGAATTGCGCTTATTTCGTCAACAGTTTTTTAATAAATAAATAAACGCATAAATATAAAACAGCATCTATTTATCTTTATATAGGTAACCAATCTTGGTGCACGTGTCGATTCGGTTGATACACGTTTAAATGATGTCACCGAACAAGTACAGACACAGGCACGAGAAATCGAACGTATCGATGCCAAAACATTAAGCTATGTACCAGCAGAATGGGGTCGTCAAGTAACTAAATTATTAAATCATCGAGCAGATAACGATTGGCGTTTACTTGGTAAACGTTTCGGTTATTCGACTAGTGAATTACGACATTGGGCTCTTCAAGCTGATCCATCTATGAATTTATTGAACGAATGGTTCATGACACACAAAACTGATGAAGCAACCTATGGACTTGTCAAGATGTTGGATGAAATCGGTCGACAAGATGTTACAACAATTATTCGTGAAGCCGTTTCAGCAGCCGGCCAACTCATTCCTGATGATATGCCTATTGAAATTAAACGTCTTCCGCCTGTCTTTCTTTCATATCAATGGGGAACTCAAAAGGCCGTCTTAACACTCAAGACTCATCTTGAAGAAGCCGGTTATGCATGTTGGATGGACATTGGACAGATGGGTGGTGGTGATAAATTGTTTGCTAAAATTGATGCTGGTATTCGGGGAGCAAAAGTTGTCATCTGTTGCATGAATTCAGCGTATAGTGAATCAGATAATTGTTTACGTGAGGTTCATTTATGTATCAGTACAGGCAAACCAATAATTCCTTTACAAATGGAAAAACAAACGTGGCCACCTGAAGGTGCTCTCGGTCCAATCATGAGTGAATATTTATACATTAGATTTTATGATCGTAAATCGAATTCGGACAACTATTGGCCTGCAGATCGATTTACTGAACTTCTCGGTCAAATCCGCTATCATGTAGCACCAGATCCAGATATGATCAGTGAACGATATAGCAATTGGTTTGTACCACGTGTCGATAATTTAATCTTTCTTCAGCCAACATCCAATGACAATAAGAATAAACAAGTTGAATTGAAAGATGGTACTCCGCTCGTTGTCATTCATCCACAAGTAATGATTTCATATCAATGGGATCGTCAAACTGATATTGTTGCTCTCTATAAACGATTGACACAATTGGGCTATCGTTGTTGGCTTGATATATTTCAAATGGGTGGTGGAGATTCTCTATTTGAAAAGATCGATGCTGGAATTCGTAATGCCAAATGTGTACTTGCTTGTGTCACTCCAAAATATACGAAATCAATCAATTGTCGACGAGAAATGTCATTGGCCGATGCACTTACTAAACCGATTGTTCCATTGTTACTTGAAGATACAAGTACGTGGCCACCAGCAGGTCCCATGGCACTCGTCTTTACTGACAAACCCTACATTGATTTTCGTCATCAGAATGAAAACATTCAAGATGGTCGAGATATATGGTCATTGAAAGAATTCGAACAAGTACTTGCTCGATTGAAAATAGCTGTTCCCGAAGTTCAAACAGAAAAGCCCCGAAAACATTTACTCGATATGAAACGGCCAACAACAGCCTTAGGACAAGCTGAACATAAGAAACGACCAGTACGTATTCGAAGTGCACCAAGTGTTCCACAAAGTCGAGCATGTTCTCTTATGTAAAGGCTTGTTTTTGCATCGCTATAATAATTTAATCTGATTAAATATAATAATCCATTAGCCTTTACAAAACATTTCCTCATAGATATATATTTATGATAAATAATATTGATTGATTTTATTTCAGATATATGCAATTGAATTGTACAATAACTGTAGATTCTATTTAACATTGCAATTTAGACTTCAATGTGCTAAAACTTAATCACTTAGCTCTCAGAGTAATGAAGTCACTTTTCGAAAGTAGTACCTATCGTGGTTTATTTTGTTGTTTTGAAATGTTTGTGTTTGATGAATGTAATGGCAACTTTAACACATTCGACTTGAAACTAATCCATAAACATATTTTAACTTTCTTCTATTATTTAAACAAAGCATATTGTGTATACGTCTAAATTGAGTTTTTGTAATAATAAACGAACTTATTTGAACATATATGAATGTTACGTTAAGCAGTTGTCAAAGTTGATGTCTACGAGATATGATCAATCATTAATTTTTCTTTTCTCTTATATCTACTAGAAATTATGATCGAGTGAAGTGCTATTTATTTTCTCGTTCTTATTGTTACTGTGATGAACAAACATCTTGTTAATATCGTCAAAGAGATTTTCTTTATTTAACCAGTAGACACGAATTTGATAATTGCTATAATACATATGTTGTGAATAAGTTTATTTGACAGTTGATACACGACTATGTTCTATTCAAAAAGTAATGATTCGACTTATCAAATTAATTACTAAAAATTTCTAAATGATAGAAAGTAGAATAATATTGATATTTTAACATTCAAACTTAACATACAGATGGTACAGTCGGTTATATACTTGGTAAACCGGTTACTATAATGGAACCAAATCCTAAACAACTTTGCATTTGTTAAAATAATCATAAAATAGTGCTGCGGTCATGCTCGAACATCGATTAAATCTACTATATAGAATTTTCTAGGCATTTTCAATCAACGGCATCTAGTCTGTATCGAAATATTTTATTTTGAAATCAAACACAGTGAATAGTTATCATTAGAGCTGAGCAACGATCTGATCGGATCAATTTTTCATATAATGTGAATGATAGAGCCCATTGAGTCCCAAATTTTCGGATTCGGGATCAACTCGACGGATTCTAGCGGATGAATATGTGGATATGAGTAGAAGGTATGAGAATACCCATATCTATACCCATTATACAGAAACTTGATCCATCAGCTGTCAATTTAAAGACGATTCAGATTAGATAAATTATTGAGCAAGACTTGATATTTATTTGTACAAATAATAGCTGGCAAAAATATTAGTTTCAATGAAAATAATTATAGATAATTTATATATTCTAACGAATCCATAAACAAAAACCACTGATATTTTCTGTACTTCTTGTAGTCAAACAAGTTGATGGTAAACGTTTAATTAACCATTGAAGGAATTCATCATTTATTATGGTTGTTGATGGATTTCTTCAATAATAATCTAATAAATCATCTTGACATTAAACATTTAGTTCTCTTAAATTTTTCATATAATAAACAAGATAAAGAATATTTAATCGATTTTCAACATTAATAGATAATATTTCACATTGGTTACCTAAGGAATTATTTATTATTTCAAATGATAATAATTGTGAAATAAAAAATGAACTTAAATTTATTGAATAAAGATGAGATATTCGATCGAGTAAAATTTGTAATTTCAATAAGAGCTGTTTGTTATGATATATGACAATAAAATGACATCATATTGTCTTGTATGTATATTCTCATATTACTCTTCTTTTTGCAGATGTTAATGTTGATATTCTTTTCTCTCACATTCACATCTACACTCCCACCCATACTAAAGTCCTGCAAACAGTTCGGTTCGAGCCCCGGGTATAATTTCATATCTCAATCTGAACCTACAATGAATGAGATCTTGACTTTTTCAAAATATATGTTTACTTTTTCAATCTGATAATTTATATAAAAGCATAGGACTAAAAACCGATTCTATCATAATTGAATAATTTATTATACTTGCGAATAGGTCATAGAAATGAAAAGCAATATCGTTTCACTAAAAGAATTCGTTTTTAATGAAAATTCATCTACAGATGATGATCTCTTTTTTTGTCGCTATAAATGGAAACTCAATAGCATATTTTTTCCAATAAAATAAAAGTTTTAAAACCGTACTGTGACTGTGAAGGTATTTATCAGATGGCGATTAGTTTCGATTGAGTACCGAATACAGCTACTCGAATGTGCTTTGGGATTCGATATTTAAAAAGGTGTCAGTCGAGGTTCGCTTTAGAAAAGCCATACCCGTACAGGACACTAACCCATACCCTTACTTCTAGCTGAACAATTGACTGATAGAAAACAATAAACTACTTTTGTTTTTCTTTTTTTCTTTAAGTTTGCTTCTATTCAAATTAAAACTCTACTTTTTATTTTCTAATCAGTTTTATTAATCAATTAGTAAAATTTCAAAAATCATTTCACAATAGAATTATCAAAAAAAATCACTTGCTGATTTTGATGACATACGATCAACATTTAGTTCAGTCCGAATCACATTGGGATCAGTATGAGGCAACGAATGACGATAGATTTTGCATGCTTTTTTAAAATTGGATAGTGCTTTTTCAAAATCATCAAGATGTTCATAAATAAGACCAATATTCTCATATGTCATGGCGAAACGAAGATGAAAAGGAGGAAGAGATTTCTCATAAATTTTGATTGATGAAGTGTAATGTTTCAATGCCAAATCATGTTGATCGAGACACACATAAATATTACCAATATTATTGTGTGATGTACCAATATCAGGATGATGCTCAGGAAAATGATTCTGACGAATAGTCAATGCTTTTTTATGACATTCTAATGCTTTCGAGTATTGTTTCTCATCCTGATAGACATTACCTATATTATTGAGACACATAGCTACATCTGGATGGTCTTCACCGTATGTTTTATTCCAAATTATCAATGCTTTCTTGTACGATTCAATTGCTTGAGTATGGTCACCTGTCTCTTGATAAACAATGCCAATACTGTTGTGAATATTAGCAATATTTGCATTATCGTTTTTCGATGTTCGTTTACTAATATCGAGCAATTTGTTGTACCATTTCAGACTCGATTTAAAATCTTTTTTCTCACTTGCTACTATTCCTAAAGCATGATAACATGCGGAAATATGTGGATGATTATCAGACAATTGATCTAGATAATAGTGATAATACTTTTCAGCATGATTTAATTTACCCATATCGAGTAAGACATCCGCAAACATATATAAATTTGTTTCTTCATTACCTAGTTTTTTTCTCATGTGATCAAAGAGTGATTGTAGTTTATCATCATTATTAGAACATAATCTTAAACGAATATTCCACGTTTGATCATTGTCACGTTTTATTTCTTTAACTTGAAAGATTGATCCAATCATGAAAAGTATTTCTTCTTCGTCTTTGAAATAACTCAATGCAGTTACATTGCTAAAAGCTTTGATATTTTTCAATCGAGGATTTGCATCAATTTTAAAAAGAACTTTTTTATAATCATTAGAAGAATTATTAGAAATAAATAATTTAGCTACTGCCGATTTGATACTAGTCGAAAGAAATGAATTCATTGAAATAAATTGACCAACAGAATTCTGAAACTTTTCGAGTTCTTTTTCTGACATTTTTTGACCACGATAAACATGAACAATTGATGAACATTTATTTTTTTCCAGTTGTTGTGCAAGATCACGAATAAAAAATCGAAATAGATATAATAATTTAATGTCTTGAACTCGAAGTGCAGTGTTCAACATTTTATAAATAGATGAATCTCTCGTATACCATTGTATTGATTGATCAGGCGAGTAGTTACGTTCGAATTCTTCAACAGTTTTAAAGTCTTCAGAATTTTTTTCAAATTTTTCTTTTAAATAGCTAATAAGGTCCTGTTTTTCATTCAATGACGGTTTCATTCGAATGAGACAATCAATTAATAATTGAGAATGTATGAATTGACCATTTAATTCAGTTGAAGATTGCTCTTCTTCTTGAATATTTGAATTGAATGCATAAAACGATAATTCTTCATCAATTTTATTATGCTTAATTTGTGTTTGATCTTTTTGAACATGATGAAATAAATCATCCAATTCAACAATGACATCTTTTACCTAAACAAAAGGTATTAGCGCAATTCCAATTGAATTAAAATGTAAAACACAATATAACTGCTTTTGCTAATCATCGGGAAATTGTTTTATTCTGTTCGTCTTGAGACACAATTCTCTATTCTTCTTTTACTCAGTCCTCCAGAAATACAATAAAAATATAGTTAACGTATTGTAACGAACCGTTATTGATATACTGTCTTTGATCGTACGTGAATAACGACTGTCACGGCTTTTTATCAGCGTCTTCCACAATCTGTAATGGTCTCTAGCTAACGTCTGCCATGGTCGGCGAGGAAGCAGAGGGAGGAGATGCAAATCAAAGTTGAGCAGAGGATAGGATTAGACAGGACGGTAAGCAAGGCAACAATAATCCTTGTTTTGACTCTCGATCACCCACGTGCATATTAGTTATTTTATAGCTAGTTTATTTCGAATCATTTTCAAATGTAACAACTAAAGTTTTCAATAATGACTAATGTTATAAATACAAGAAAATATAGAAACATCTTGATTTGTTATGTTAACCCTTTGAGTATCAGCGTACATTTTACCATACGGTTTTATCAAGTATCTTAATTCTTGAATAACTTGCAAACGCAAAATGATATCGAAGTACTGATGAGCTTTTGGAACACTAAGTCCATTCTCAAAAGAAGGAGAGCGGGTAATGCCTTTTTGTGGTCCTGAAAATATTTCGATTTTCCACGTTGGAATCAAATTAGAAATGACTCCTAGTGATATTTCAAAGGTTAATTTGGCTACAGTATTCAAACGAGTTTCAATTCACATTCGTACTCCTCCACAGAGATGACAAAAATACTTCTTCGTCATTCCCGTCGGGAGTAAGAGCATGTGCTGAAAATGACTTAAAAGATTCTTTTAAAAGTTTTGATGAAAATATCATTAATACACATCGCCCTTATCGAATATAAAATCTCAAAGAAATTTCGTCCATTGATTGAGCAATGGTACTCAAAGAATTAATGACATGCTTATTATAGGAATCAAAATATTTAAAAATATGAACTTGTGGAGTTTTATCATCATTATCATAACACATGATGGATACTATTCCTAATAACCAAAATAGAACAATGAAAAAGTACTTGATAATAAAAATGATATTTAGAGCAAGAAAAAATACAAAACAGAGTTGAATATAAGACAATATTCTCTGTTTCATCCTTTGCTCAGCTCTGGTGCAGATTTCTGCTCTATATACTTAAACACTCATTTTAGATCGTGCTTCACAAAATACATATGTAAATGTTATTTGAAGTTAAATCTCGAAAACTAAATAAATATACTAACTTTAGAGAATTGTTTTGCCCATTGTTCATTAGCTTTCTTGTCCTGACAATAAACATAGATTGAAATAATTTGTTCAAGTTGAGCAATTTTTGGAACAATAACTCGACTTAATCTTCCACTGACAATTAAAATAATACGATCATTTTTTGATATAGAATGAATGTGTTGAAGACATTGTTTATCATCTTCAAATGTTAATAAATTATTAATTGATTTTCGAAGTTGTTTTTGAGCTTTGATATTATCTTCTGAACTATTAACTGTAGCATCAAGCCAAATTAAACAATATTGTTCCAAATTTTCGTTGATTTTCAATGATACTACTTTATTATTCATAATTTATCTGTAGTCTTGTTGAAAAAAAAAAGTATGGTGTATGTTTGGCAAAGATAATTTTTTGCTTATATATATATATGACATGATAAGAATCTTTCATATCCTTCGAGTGTTTATTATCTATTAAAATGTTCGTGAAAACAGAAAGCGTTAGTCTCGTTCCTATGGTTTCTTTTATTATTTTTTGAGATAAGAATAGATTCAGAAATGATAAATACAGAATATTCTGAATTGCCTTTGTACAGACTCTAATTTCTGTAATGATAGTAAAGGATCACAAAAAATGTTGACTGTGAAAAAAAGTTTCTTTTTATCATTCTAATTGTTTCAAAACAAACTCTGATAAATGTATTCAGTTCAAAGTACGTGAAATTGTATTCTGCTATCACAGTAGGTCACACGAACTTTTGTGCTTTTCAGTATCATAGCTGGAGTGTTGAGGATTTTTAGCATTTGAATCGAGCCATTTTGAAGTGTTGAATTGTTTAGCTTGTTGAAAAAGCTTTCATAGAATCTTCTAGAAACTGGATATATACCCGAGCAGATATCATACATTACTGTATTTATTGATAAGGAGACTGTTGTCAATGGTAAATCGAGTTTGGCTAAAACTCTACGGATAAGATAAACTCTGATGAAGTATGATAATTTTCGATGACATGAGCTCTATTCGAATGATGGTATTTCGAACGAAATTTTGCCTACAGAGATGATTCTACTTGTAACTAAAATACCGAGAAAATTTGAGTTCAACAAAAAATATTTCCTTGACAAAATATTGATTTTGCAAAACACATAAGATACTCGCATCTTTCATTGGATGTTCGTGTTTTTTTTTGCAAATTATATTATCGTGAAGGAAAACGCTTTTAAGTCAAATTTTTTTCAGCATTCTGATAAGAAGTAGTTCTATATGTTTAGGAAATTTCAAGTGGAAATACTGTCATCGATTTTTTGGTGGATAGCGTGTTATAAACTAAAATTATAGTAAAATGGGCACAAGTCTGGTGAGAAGGATTGAAAGAACTAATCCTTATGAGGTTTTGTTTTATTTCTCAGTGATATTTACTGTAGGCACATAGTTGGAACACGAAAACGATTAGTTACTTGAAACGGTACCCTCGTGAGACCAATATTAGTGAAGTACTCGAGAATAGTTTTTCAAATATTCTACTAAATATTGTTTCAGTATACGGAGGATGTGGATGTGAATATTTTGTCCACTTACACCAATAGAGGCATGTGGTTCAATATGGAAAAAAAATTCAAATAACTGATGTTTTTATTTCAAGTTCACTGTTAAAACGACCAAAAAAACAATCAAAGGAAATTTTTTATCCTTCTGTATTATTTTCGAATAGTAGTTAGTTATAGAGAAATCAACTTTGTTTTTCCGTGGTCAAAATACGCACTAATATAAAGTGTATCGCATTCTACGACATATTAAATTGTGGCACAATCTGTTTCTATGTTGCACATGCAATATATTTTAAAAACGTAGTTTCAATCTAATTTTTGACATGTCTGTCATTTTCTTCTGTAGATTCAAAATAATACATTCTTGATCAGTCGATCGTTTCCTCCACATATTCTCGAATAATGAATAATCGCGAAATTTTCTAACAGAATGCAATAAACCAAAAATCTATAAGCCTGGTATGTTTAACTGATTCTATTGTATATACCTACGCAAGCAAAGCAGAGCTGTGAATGAATGCTTAGCAACAGACGGCAAATTATCTATTATGTGACATTTTAAATTGTGATAACTACATACGACAATTTTTATTTTATTGTGATTAATAAACTTATCTATTCGTTGAGAGTGGTTCTTTTTCTTTCTGTAAATCATTGACTCAATTTGTTATCATCTCAGGTTTGCTGGATAAAAACATCTTACACTATTTTTCTACAACATTAATGAAACATCTGAAGTTCAGACTTTAAAAAAAATGAGTTATTGATTTATAATATATGTAAATCAGAAAAGTAGTGAATTACATGTTAAACATATGTTGTGTATTGAGTAAATAAACAATATCTTTACAAACTTACAATATGTGAAGATAACAACAATTTCACAGTGTAGTTCCAACAATTCTCAAAAGTTTTATATTAGACTACTAACAATCGTCTTTTTATTGAATAGACTATTGATGGATTTCCGGCAATGTTTTTCATAATCAATATAATTTTGGCCATAAGTGTTTTAATGTTACTCAAAAATCTGACGTTGAAAATTTGTCAAATTTTTTGGACAATTTTTTGTCTCACTAATATGAGCTTCTTTCGTGATTCTTTAGCAGTATTATGTAACCAGATGTGTTTATCGTAGAGGATAATTAATCAAAAACGTGTTGATGAAGGTATATACATATTGGTGAAGGCCATCACACATTAAAGATTAGCTTTTGTTTGTTTGATTATTATTAGTTCTAATCTGTGGTTCAGTAATAGCAGATTTGTTGTCTAATGATGAAGAAAGAATTATAATATTGCAGAAAAAAAGAAAGATATCTTCTAATCGTTTACTATTATTGTGTTCACTTTTCGCTGTCTGTGGGCACTGTGAACCTTTTTTCTGTTATTTTCTGTCATTTTCATTCTTCTGGATAATATATTAATGTAATATTATTAGATGCATGTATTGATGAAGCTATTTGAGCATTTTGAAGTAGTTAATGTGTTTTATTCAACATATCTATCGATAAAAGAGAAATATAATGACTGTCTTCGTTCTTTTATCCATTGAAATCATTTATACTATACTTTTTTATTTGAGCCATTGTAAAATTTTGTACACTGCCAAATCCTTCAAAGATGCGCTTTTCAAATGGCTTTCTTTAAATACATCATAGTTAATGCAATTGTTGATGATTCGTGTCCTTCATGAAATAATAATGTTGAATTTCTTCACTATTGTAGATTGATAATAATGAGTTAATCATTCGTTAGCAAAAGTTTATCAAGGAATGAAGTTCTCAACTGATTAATCATTGTTGAGTCGAGACTATATGCATCATGTAGATCCTAATGAATGATGAACATTCTGAAAAGAGTTTAAACTCTTGGTTTATTGTTCCAGAAGTGTTGCATTTCTTATGATAATTTTTTAGTCAATATCGTGATCGAATAGAAGATTTCTGCTGTCCACTTTCTGTATTATATTACGATCCTGATTAGTACTTTGGTTCAATAGGAATATCGTGGAATTGTGTCCAAACGAAGTGATTTTTTTGACATCGTATAAAAATTTTAATCAATAATTCATATGGTTTTTAATGTTAGTTATTCATGTAGTATGAGAGCTTCATAGACGATGTAAATAATGGTGATTTTTGAATTAGAGTGTCTTTTATTTCGAAATGAAATAAAATCAATTGAAATATTTATTAACATGTCTGAGAAAGCTATATAGGTTCATAAAAAGGATTTATCTGGAATAAATCATGATATTCATCGTTCAAAGAAACAGACGAAAATTTTGTTTCTTGGCGGCTATAGTTTGAAGTTTTATTTTACTTGTCATTGACAATTGACAATTGTTTAAATAAACTTCTTTTAATGATCCATTTTGTTCAAGCATATCTATAAGATAATTCAAGCATGAATCATTTATCAATCGATTATTTTCCAGATCTAAATATTTAAGAGTTCTATTATAATAAATAAGTGCCAAAGCTAACATTTCTACACCATGATAACCTATTCGATTATTTGATAACCACAAACCAGTAATGGATCTATTTGTTCTGAGCATTATAGCCAAATATTCGGCACTATTATCAGTTAAATCAGTTGATTCAAGATCAAGCCATTTAAGAGCTGAATCATTTAATAAAAGTTTTGCCGCAAGATATTGAACGCTGATTTCTGATAGAGAATTTTTATGAAGAGAAAGCATTTGTAATGTCGTATTATTTGTTAAACTTTCAGCAATTTGTATAACACCTTGAGAAATAATTTGATTACGTCCTAAATCAAGAATTTTACATTTTTTATTTATAATTGCCAAATTAACAACTATTGGAATATCATCATCAGTCAAATATTGATTTCTTAATGAGATTTTAGAATAAAGTGGATATTGATTAATTATACTTTCAATTTTTAAACTATGAGAATTCATCAATTCTAAACATAATTTTATTAATAAAAATATTATTATTTGTTTGAATTCTAACTTACTTGATGTTGTTGCATTTTCTTGAACTTGATGGTTGGATAATTTTTGATTTGAACAATAACTACAGTTCATTTCATGAGATCGTAGATCTATTCGTTGTCCTTTCCATGGGCATTTCATATCAGCAGCTGAACACAATACAATTACTTTTTGACATCGTTTATCTTTATGATAATCAAAACGTTTTCGTTTTATGTGTGTTTGTTGACATAATGTACATTTAACTGGAAGTTGATCAAGCTTATTAAGAATATTTTGATTAGTTACAGGTTTTAAATTGTTTTCTATTAATATCTTACGACATATTGGACATGATAAATCTTTTTTTAACCATAATTTAATACAAGAAAGACAAAATATATGTCCACATGATGTTATTGTTGGTTTATTGAATGGATTTAAACAAGCAGCACAAATCAGTTCAGAATCAATAGATGATTCGTTTTCATATTCATATTCAAGATCATGTGACATATGTAAATCAATGATAAAACTAAAATATTGTTGTTATATTAGTTTATTATAAAAATAAATAACAACTTGATAAAATATAAAAGAACGATTAGTTTTAAGAGGAAGCATGTGTTTCTATGGCGTCATTTGAATATAAGCAAAAAATACAAACTGTACCTTTAGTTTCATATTTTTATTTTCATAAAGGTAAATATGCGTCAAATTTTTACCTAATTGATAAATGTATATACCTTTAAATAAACATTCCCCTTTTCGTTGTTGTCTGGTGTCAATTTATATCATCATTATCTTTTCATCAAATAAAATTTTGCGTATAAAGAAAGCGTACTTAATTAATTAATATATTCTTTGAACATAGTGTTGACTAAATAGAATCAAATTTTATGAAACTGAAGAAACAATCTGTAGTTGCTATTTTTTTTAACAATAAGTAGACAATCGATTAGTTTTACTCATACTAATCAATACAAAGACATGTAAATGACTCATGCGATACACACGCCGAAAAAAGTAATGATATTGAAATTCAATTGATATTCAGATATATATGAATCGCTATCGAATGCGTTTTATGAAACTCACCTATATTTTCGAAGTCAATAGACAATGTAACTTGAAATCGAATATTTTCCAACTCTCCTGTCTAGGTTCAAGCAATTGGAAATCGAAGGACGAAAACTGAAGGTCATTGAGTATGCTACTCTAACAATTGTAGAAGGAAGAAGGAGCTAACAGTCATTAGGTACATTTTTCTAGTAACGTGAAAAGGCTCATCAATAATAGCAGTGCTTAGATCATGCTGAAACTTTCTAGAATCTCCCAAAACATTCTATGAGTCCAAGAGTTCTACTGAAAATTTTAAGTAGTCCAAAAATTGCAGGTTTTGGTATTTAATGCAGCATAAGAATCTTCCTATAGGTATCAATAAGTAGTACTGAACGATTAAATCAATGTGTATAGCTGATTACTATGGTGATTGCACTGACAAAACGAAGAATAAAACAATATTTACCGGTTCCTATGGGATGTATCGTATATATTAAAATTAAGAGAAAAGATGCATTGAAGATGTATCTGACAAAACAATAATAAATTCAGCAGCGTCCAGACTTCTAAAAAATGTAGATTTCTCTCATAAATTATCAAACTTCAGAAACCACTCCCACAGTAAGACCATACAACTTGAAAAGTTCAGAAATTGCCATAATTATCACTAAAGCAATCGAAACGATCTGTTCGAAAATACAGCACTTTTCAGGGCGTTTCCCAGCGATATAAGAAAAAGCAAAAGTAGATTTCTTAACAATTTTCGTGGCATCACTTACACAGCAAAAAAATTTCCAGATAATTTCTAAGATTATTCAGACGTCATAGACCAATTTCCACATAGTTTAGATTATAAACACTCTACATAAAGGTTATTTTAAAAAACTCTAATCGTTCATATGATAATAAACAAGACCGTACGCATGAGTGAATGGAAATTTTAGGAATTACAGAGAAATCTCTCAATCTACTGAATTTTTCAGAAATTTCGAAAATTTTCTATGATTCATGGGCTAGGATCTTCTTTTTATTATAGTAATAAGTAAAGAAGTTCATATAATCTTTACAAAGAAGTTTTCTAGTTATTTGTGAAATTAGT